CTCCCCAGGAGGGGACGTTCAGCAAGGTGGGCACGCAGCTGCTGGCTGGGGCAGTACCTGCTCTCTGGGGCAGAGGAAAGCAAGGCTTTTCTGTTTACCGCCCCTAAGAGGGGCTCAGTGAGTCACGATACGAGGGCGGGCGCTTACCTAATTTGTTTTGCGTTTCTGTGCTCATTCCTGCGCGTGTGAGGTCAGAGTCACCTACAAGCCTTATTTCAGAAGGTTTGCCATATTATACTTACCTATTATTTCCTGTATTGAGCCTATTTGAAATCAGCCCTACTTATTATGATAAAATAAAAGCCTATCTGCAGCAAGCTGCATTTCTTTGGATATTTTAAGGAATGCTGTAGTGTAAACTTTTCCAACTGTTTACAGATGTTGCACTATAAATGCTGGAGCGAGGTTTTTTCCAGGGCAAGGACAAACTGTATTCATGTGACAGTGGGAAATGCTGGGAGTGGTTTCCCACGCTTGACGGTCACATAACACCGGGATGTTTAGCTATGCTGGACCCGGGCACCAGTGTAACCCCCTGTTTGGGTTATGGGGACACAGGAGACCTCATGCTGGGAGCGTGAGAAGGGGAAACCAGGTGTGAGTGTTCACATGGCTGCAGCCGTCGTTTGAGTAAACCTTTAGTTCTCCATCCCAAAACCGCACACCTGAAGTGTCCCTGATTCTGAAGAGGCAGCATGACATGTGGAAAGGCACTCGGTCCATGTTTTGTCACTGCCACTTGTCACCTGGGGTCTTGACTGAGCTGCTGAACTGCCCATGCCTCAGTTTCCACATCTGCAGAATGGGCCCAAGACTTCCCGTGCTCCCCTCCAAGGAGCCAATCTGTGCAGGGGTGCTTTTTAAGTATCCCCAGCTTATGTGGGCACATGACATTACCAGGGGTGCCGCCGCACCCTGGGGGCTCCCGAGCGTTCGCCACAGCCCAGCGGTCTGGGGGGTGCTCACTGGGCCGCAGCAGACTGCAAGCCTGGGTCTGACTGCCTGAGTGGCCCCCGACTCTCACCTGCGGCCACCACGCTCACACCCAGACTTGGGACGTGCACCCCGGTACTGTCATTAGCCATGTCAGGTGCAGGATCAATGGCTTTCCAACCAAACGAGGCGTCCATGCTAGTACTCTCTCACGTGAGAGACCTGCCCCCCACCCCCAGTGCAGAGGCCAGAACCTCCCACTAGAGGAGCTGAACTCACAGAGCTCAGTGCACCCTTCCCGCTAGGGAAGCCAGACGCTGGGCCTCACAGAGTTCTGTGGGTTCACTGTTGTGAGCATGAGGGCAACAGATCACAGGAGGGAGGGAATTGTGTAAGAACTGGGGATGCAGAAAAGGAGGGTGTGCTTCCCGCACATCAAACAGCAGGAACTGTCAGGTGGGTAAATGCTACTAGAGCCCAGAAAACTATCTCCCTGTCGCCTGCATCACATTTGCAGCTGAAAAAACAGGCCTTAGCAAATTCTAGAAATCAGTAGCCTTTAGAGAAAAGTAGGGTCTTGGTCCAAGTTCAAAATTTTAATTCTTTGATTTAAATAAATGTAACCAGGTTTTGAAAAAAGGTTTGTCATGTATGTGATTAAAATTCCTCTACATCTAAGATGAAAATACCTAAGACAGACGCCGGATCACTACAGAACAAGCACAACACTTTCTAAAGGGCAGAGAATCAAAAAGCAGAACCCCTCCCACCCTCCGAAGACGGAACACAAGCTCGCAGAGGCAAAGATGGACCAGCGACTCACACTTTCTTTTCCTGCGAGGAGTTACTAGCGACACGGCTGGTGGGGTTACAGGATAAAGACGTGGATAGTAAGCAGGAATCTAAATCTGGCCAACCGAAATATAAATGGAAGCCAATTTGGGGGCCTGTTTTAGAGCTAACTGCCTCTGATTGAAATCGGTTTTGATTTGGCTTAAATTGGTTACTGATATGGCTCAACACCTACATCCTGCCAGAGTCTGCGGCTGATCACGCATCTGGGGGTGGGAGGGCGTAGCGACAATACGGCGTGGTCTGCAAGTTCTTGCAGGTGATCCTGGCAAACAAAA